TTATTATTATTTTTTTTAGACAATCTTTTTCATTTTATTAAAATTCAAGCAGCACAAAGTAAAACATTTCTAAATGAATAATTCTGTAGCAGTAAGTTCATGTATAGTATAGTATAAAAATCACCTCTATGTGGTTCAGAAAATTTTCATCAGCCCAAAATCCAATCTTGACACAGTTATACTCTGTTTCCTCTCTAACCCCAAGTCCTGGAACCACCTGTCACTCTTCTGTGCCAGTCGATCTACCTCATCCTATTTTTTTTTTTTAAGAAAAAAAACCCCAAAAAGCTGGTGATGAGCCTGAATAGACAGAGTCTTTGGTGACACACCTTGTCTGGGGAGGTGGGTGCTGAGTGCTCTCTCATTGGGGCAGGGTAGCAGAACCCTTGCTCGCCAATGATAGGGGTCAGATGCTCACCCCACTCGCTGAGGGCACACTGCCTTCTCCATCAGAGGCCAGCAGCTCAGGCTCCAGAGAGACGCTGGCAGCCACAGGGTGACCAAGCCACCTGAAGACAGCAGGGGACAACACTAGCAGCAGCAGGCACTCAGCTGCAGTCCCTTCAGATGTCACTGCCTACAGGAAGCTTTCCTTCACTCTCACAACCAGGGAAAAGGAGAGAAAAGTAAAATGGGCAACCACAAGAGAGTAAAGACAGGGACCCTAGTAACTTCGGGCAACCTCTCCTTTCTCCCTGCGTGCTGGCCAGACTCCGCTCCCTCCTTCTACTTCCTGAGGAATGGTAGGTCCCAGTCCCAGCTCTTGGCCTCCTTACAGCCTCTGACTAGGAAGAACAGCCGTGATCACTTGGAGAATCTCAGCTCAGCTTTAGAAGTCATTCTTAGGTGGGAGAAGGGTTTGAGTCAAAGAAAGCACAACTCACTAAACTAGGGCTGGGTAGAAGAGGTAGAGGAGTGAGAGCAAAGGAGAGCGCTACCCATTGGCCCTCTGCAGCCATAGAGGGGACCAGTCTGACATCTTCCTGAGGGTAAAGCAGGCCAGGGAAGCCGTGGACCTGGCAGCATTACTGTCCCTGCTCAGAGGGGCAGCCAGGCAGCACCAGATCTGGCCACAGAGGCTCAGCAGCCACAGGGCTCTTCCTCTAGCTCCAAAGGAAAACAGGGTCCTCAGAGGTACACAGGGCAGGTGCAAATGCATCCCCAGTCTGGATGCAGCATTTCCACACCATCTACCTCAATGGGGAAGACGGGTTCTCCTCCTCACACTCAGTACCCTTGTCCTTGCCCTCTTGAAACCTTCATTTGCTGCCCTGTAAAATGGGGCCAAGTGTCACTCCTATTCTGGAATGTTAATGAGGATGGACTATAGATTATGTGGGCATGCTCTGCCATGCCCATGGCTGGTGCAGAGCAAGGTCAGCCTTCTATCTTCACCCCCAAAACTCTAGGATGCCGGAGGACTGAGCTAATAACACTAAAAAGCCACTGGCTTGGTCAAGCATGGACCAACTTAATGATTAAACCCAACTTGCAGTTTGCATGTGGTCTCTTCTCCAGCCAGAACTTTGACTGAAACCCAGAGGCACACAGGAGGAGAGAGAGAGCGCTGGTGAGAGAATTCCACCTGGCACCCCTCATCCTGGAATGTTGCCCCCTAACCTGTTTACACTTTTATTTTCCCTTTGCAAGTCCCAGTGAGGACTAATGGAGTGGATAGCAAAGAACCGTATGGAAACAGGCAGGCTTCTAAATTCTAGCTTCACCACTCCCCTCTTGAGCTGGGGTGAGTGTGTTAACCTCTCTGTGACTCAGCCTCCTCATCTGTAAAATGGGGAGCAGCACCCTACTTTGCAGAGTTGAATTGTGACTGGAAAGAGAACAGGTGAAGCACACAGGAGGAGCTAGGCAGACACAAGTTTTCAGGGCACTCATCGGAATAAGCTGTATACTTTGCAAGAGCTGCCAAGGGCTTCCCTGTTATCCATCACAAAGGGACTTCCCTCCCCTCGGCATTTCCTTATTGCACACTAGCACAGCATGTGCACAGTGGGACACCCAGTAAATGTTATCTTAATCATGGGCTGGGAGGATACTACATGTCAGGGGAGGAATGCAGGACTTTGGAACTATATAAACTTGGATTTTAATTCTGGCTCTGTCAACTGGATGAGGTGTGTGGGCTGTGACAAGTCTACCTCTCTGGACCTTGGTTTCTCATTCATAAAGCGGGGGAAGACAATCCTTACCTTGCAGGGCTGTTGGGAGAATTAAAATCATTTATTCAGTATCTATTTACTGAAACTTTACTGGGTATCAGCCCCTGCTCTGCTGTACGTACAGCAGTGGACAAAATGGACAAGAATCTATGAGAAGCCAGAGAAGCAGGAGCTAAGCAAGCAGACAACACGGCACACGATGGCAGGCGCTAGGGGAAAACAGAAGCAGAATAAAGGGGGTGAGAAGGATGGTAGCAGGGCAGTGGGCAGGCACTGCCCTGGAACAGAGACCCAAAGGAGGCCAAGGAGAAGCCGTATGGAGGCCCAAGGGAAGAATGCTCCAGGCAGAGGGACCAGCAAGTGCAGGAGCCCTGAGAAGACTTGTGGTTGGCACACACAGGAAGCCACATATGCAGGAAGGCTGGCATGGAATCCAGGTGCTCAGCAAATGCCAGCTCTCTATTTCAAGTCCCACAGAACGAACCCCACGCATGTGTCCTTTTCCCAAGAACGAATGCACAAGGATTCTTCAGGGCAAGGCTGAGCCAAGTGTTCTTTCAGTTGAAAATCCCAGGCACTATGTGAGTTCTAGCACCAGCTTTTGAGCTCCTGCCAGACACCAGGCTCTGGGATGGGCAACCAGGGACACAAGAAGATGAAGACATGGGCTCTGTCCTCAATGAACCCCAAGGGGAGTCCTGGAGATGCTGAAGCACTGGGGTCAGATGAACAAGCAGAGGGATCCGGGTAGCAGAGGAAAGGATGGGACTATGAATGATCAGGGAAGGCTTCCTGGAAAAGGGGACCTTCGAACTGGATTTGGAGAAATGAACAAACTAACAAGGGACATTCCAGGTGCTATAAGGGACATCGCCTGCTGAGCACAGAGGTGTGGAAAACAGGGTGGCATGGATAGGAAGCTCACGGTGCGTAGATAAAAAAACCATGAACAGTTTCTGGCACCCACTACCGGATGTGACTCAGGAATTCCCATCTTGTCTCCTACCTCAAATCAACGCAAGCCTCAAGCTCCAGGGGAGGAGCGACATCTCCCCCTCTCAGACAGTCTTACTCCCAGGACCTGGGGCACCAGTCCATAGAGAGAGGGCCAGGTGCGACAGACACTGCAGAATTCTCAGCTCTCCATGGCCTACCCACAGTGTGTGGGTAGTCTTTTAGTCTCTCCAAGCTGGCCCACAGGTGGCAGAAGTGCTTTTTTAAAGGAATAGCACAAGCATTTCTTAATTAAGAAGCTGAATAAAGGGGCCCAGGTGGAGGTGCCTCTACCTCGGGTCTTGTGTGTCTGGGACATCTCTTGCCATCTCCACTAGCCTCCTGATGCCCTCCTGGTGGGTTGGTGGGGTCCCTGCACCCAGGCAATAGCCACTGCATAGGAAGTACAGGCCAGCCCCCAGTAAGCAGGGCTGAGTTCCAGTCCTGCTCCTGCCTCTGCCTGGCCCCGACTCTACCTGTCAGAATTAGAAAGCTGCAGAGTAGTTGCCCTGAAGTTGCCCAGAGGCTTATTTGGCAGAAGGAGCTGGCTCCTCTTCCATAAGCCAGCCCTGGGACTCCAGGTTCAGCACCATTCACTGCAGTCCCCTCCAGGGGAAGAAATAAGTATTTTTTGACAACAGTGTGTAATGCCTGAAAGGAAAGGGTATGAGGGAGTATTAATGCAGAGATGGGGTTACTATTCCCTCTGTTAAGGCTTCACACTGAATTTGGCCCATAACTGACTTTACATCTCCCCTGAGCTGCAATTTTATACTACACATACACACACGTGCGCGCACGCACACACACACGCACACACATGCACACACATGTGCATACACGTGTGCACGCACACACACACAGGCATGCACGCGCCTAATTCATTTGGTCTAAGGATGCTACCAGGACCGCACACACACACAGACCAGCCCATCTGGATCCTACCACTGTGTGACCTTGGCTGAGTCATTTGCTTTTCTCTGAGCTTCAATTTCTTTACTACAGGTTAAATGTTCTGTGTCTGCCTCTTGGCGAGGCTTCTTTGCATATCGCACATGCTGGTGCTCTGTGCTGCATGCAAAGTACTAGGCACAGAGCCTCCCTGGGAGCTGTCAGTTCCTGCAATTACCAGGTATTTTCCTGTAAGGCCTCCTCCGGCTCCCCACTCTCATCCCAATCCCCTCTTCTGGATCCCCTGACTCTGGTCCCTGAAATATAGGATGGTCTTCGCTAGGCAGGGGTTGATGCTCTCTGCAGCTCCAACTCCGAGGGGGCTAACAAGACCCTGGTTGAGCGGACACCAGAGGGGGGCGCCGCAGGGGTTCGCGGGGGATCTCCGCCAAGGCAAGGAAGCCTGTGCCGCAGACTCAGGCAGGCTGCACACCGGGGGACCCTGTGAACACCTCCCCCACGGTTGGCAGCTGCAGCCTCCGCACCACCAGCGGTCTCTGACCGTCGTCGGAAGCCGGGCGAGCCTGGCTCCGGTCACCCCCGGGTTGCCCTAGGCTAGCTCATCAGCACCCTCGGGCTGGAACAAAGGCGAGGGGGCGCGCGGCATCGCCCAGCGGCCCTTTCGTGCATCTGCCCAAAGCCAAGAGAACGAGGACGAGGGTCCCCAAGGTAACCAGGACGCCGTGCCAGCCCTCCCGGAGCGCACAGCCCAGCTGTGGGGAGGGCGCGCGGAGCTGGGCAACCGGAGGCACCAGCGACTCCAGCCCGGGGCGCGTTGGGGGATCCAAGGGGCGTGGGTGGCTCCCCGAGAGTCACCCTGCGAGTCCCAGGAGGAGAGAAGCTCGGCGGCCGCCTTCCAGGCAGGGTTCTCCGGCGTACCTGGCAAGGTCCTGTGCACCGTGTTGCCCATCTTCGCTTCGTTGCGAGGTCGGCGACGCGCTCGCAGCACCGGGAGGCTAATTCCGCGGCGAGTCGGGGACCCGGGTCGGGGCCAGGGCTGGGCTCCCGGGCATTGCTGCTGCACGGGCGAGCCGGCGGGCGGCAGCTGGGCGGGCGCCGGGAGGGAGGCGGCGGCGGCGGCTGCCGGAGGAGGTGGAGCCATTGTCCCGGGCCTGCCGGCTCCGCCCCCGCCTCCACCGCCGCCAACCGTGCAGGGGCGGGGCCGCAGTGGCCGCCGCATCTTTTGAAAGTTTGCACCCGGTGACGGGAGAGCTTCGGCCTGCTCTCCCGCCCTCCAGCTCCCGCGCAAGGGCCTGGAAGGCGCTCTGCAGCTGGGTACCTTCGGTGCCAAGCTCGTCAGCCTGCTGGCCTTTTACTCAGGCCCACACCTCGAGAAGCTTACTGTGTGTCAAGGCCTCTTCCAGGCGACAGAAGTGAGGTGGGGCGGGGACATGAACACAAGCAGGTCACAGGGACAGTGTAGGGGTTGAAGACAGTCCAGCTAGGGTGCCCTGGATGTGGGGACTTTTCTACTCTCTAGGTTCCATGCGGCCGAGTCCAAGACTGCAGGGTACCCATAATCAGTGTTTCATTTAAAAGCTTATGCAGCACAGGCTGTGTGCCAGGCACTGAGCTGAGCCCTGTAGGTACAGACGTGGTCTTCACTGTCATGGTACTACAGGCAGCCGAGTTAGATAGAAATATAGGCAGTCAGACAGGGCTAGGTCCTCGAAGGAGATAACACAGAAGACAAGATACCTTACAACTGAGGGAGGCATGGATGTTCCAGACCTAAAGACTACAGATCAAACAAATGCGACCTCCGAAAGATTGGCATCCAAGATTGATCATCACATGAGGGAGCCAGAAGAATCATTAATCCGACTACTACTGGATGGCTACCTGATAAAGTCCTGTTCTACATTCATGCCCACTTGCTATGTGATTCGCTTTCTCATTTGGTCCTGGGCTTAATCAATTTTACCTGAGCAATGGTGCTTGTAATCCCATTGGTTGACCATAGTTTTGTCCCACCCCACATCCACCTAAGCGAGTTCCCATGTTTTCCACCTTAGATTCATACAGTTTTACACTATAAAAGTCCTTGGAAGAGACAGCTTCCTGGCGGACAACCCGCTCAGGCCCCCCTCCTATCCCTGTCTCGGACAGGAGCTTTCTTTCCCCTAATAAATATAGTCTGCTCATAACCTCCATTTGTTCCTAAAATTCATTCTTCAGTTTTAGAAAAAATGAGCTCATCCAAGTCAGGTTGGCAAATCATTTTTCCCTGTATCATTTGGAGGTTCCCTATATCATTTGGAGGTCACCCACCCGAGATTGGTTTTTCTCCCTATATCAATGGAAAGGGCATGCTAGTAGAGACAGAATGGCACACAACTAAAATGATACAACACAGTGAACAAACCTGGGAAACAAAAAAACTCAAGTTGTTTGTTTTTTTGAAACAGTGTCTCTCTGTGTAGTTCAGGCTGGCCTTGTGTTCACTATGTAGCCCAGGGAGGGCTTGAACTCATGGTGATCCTCCTGCTGAGCCCAGCCCCTCGAATGCTGGGATTACAAGCACTGGCCACCATGTCCAGGCTTTAAGAAAGAATCTTAGGTCCAGGGATGTAGACACCTGATGGAAAGGAAGGAAGCCATGGGAAGAGGCAGGGGTGCTCCTGGCAGAAGGGTAAGAGGCATTTCTCATTCATACATTCATGCACGCATGTGTTCATACATTCACCCCCGGGGTCTTTTCTAAGGACCTGTCCTGTGTGGATGCCCCACATACTCCTTGAGCTCCATTTCATAAACTGAAATGCTGAGGTCTAAGAGGTCCAAGGACTTGCTCAAGAGACCCCGATTCCAGACTGTTTCTTTCTCACTGAAGTTGCCATGCTTTTGTATCCCCTAGGCCCTTATGAGATATGTTATTATGTCCACTTCACAGATAGGGAGATTGAGGCTCAGAGTGGAGGAGAGGTGCCTGAGTTCTCCCAGCTGGGAAGGGGCGGAGCCATCCCGGAGCTGTGCGCACACAGAGGGAGCCTCCAGGAGCCAGGAGCAGGCCTCCTGCCCTGGTTTCCCTGGTGCCCTCTGCTACAGCGTGCGTCTGCTGGCACAGGGCTTACATCCTTCAAGGTCAGTTCAGGCATCCACCGCCAGGAAATCACCCCAGCATGGTCACATGTCTGTGGGTCTGCAGGAGGTGCTTGGTATTTGAGTTGCTGATTTCTTGCATTACAAGTTCCCTCTCAGAGACTTCATTTTTAAACTCCAAGTTCTGATTGGGAAAGGTCCATTAGCTGAGGCACCTGCAGTCCAGGTGAGTTGGGGGCACACACAGAGGTTGGTCTCATGGCAGAAGGAGGCTAGGGAATTTCATTAAGAGCACACAGGACTCTGACCTGAAGAGTGAGGCTGTTGCGCACAGGCCTCTTCAAGGTCACCTTCAGAATACCCAGTGAGGAGCCATGTTGTTCAGGCAACAACTGCTCTCCCGCCCCCACGAAGCCCTGGCTGTGCTGGTGAGAGGCAGCTGCATCCAGTGGAGACACCAGTCCGGTGAGGGCCTGATGCATTGATTTCAAGTGCTGTTTTGTAGGCCCTAGATCCCTATGACTGGGACATGTTCTCAGAAAAAAAGGCTCCTACCCTCCCATGATGGGGACATTAGCATCAAAGGCACACTGAGAAGAATTTGCATCAAAGAGTTTCCTGAAATGGACAAAAGCAGTCCTTCCATTTGTGTTTTATATAAAAAAGTTGCAAATATGGATGTCTAAGATAATAAATCTTACAAATGGATATCACCATTATTTTATCCCCACCTCATAAAGTTTATGTTATCCAACTTCACTGTGTGTTTTCTTGCCAGGAGGATGAGGGTGATGTCTACATTTTCTCTGATTGCCTTATATTTGAGCACATACAGTGGTGCTCACCCCTCTGCGGTCCTTCTGCACTTTGTCTTGTCCCTCACTTAAACCCTCAAGGCGGTTCCACTGTTCCCAGGCTGTACCCTTTCTGTGCTCTCCACGGTCACATGGAAAGCCCGGGGTACAGAATCACTCACCCATGAGCCCATTGCCCATGCAGGACTGATCCATCCACATTTGATTAAATGGCAGAGATACATTGCTCTGGCCTGGGAAAAGACAAGAAAGAAGGAAAGACAGACAGGAGAAAGAGAGGGAGAAAGGAAGGGAGCCTGGAGGGAAAGAGAGAGGGAGAAACATTTGTGAAGGAATGAGTCACAGTTGCTAAAGCCCTGCCTGGACCCTGGTTTGATCAAAGTGCCATAAAGAAAACAAATGAAACAGAAATAAGCTTTGGAGCAAAGGAGGGGCTTACTGCTCCAGCACACGATGATTAGATCATTCTAGAAGTTGCTTTGGCTCTGGGTACCACACTGAAGAAGAACAAAGCTGCTTCACAAAGGTGGGGCAAGTGACTTTGGGAGAGAGGAGGACCCTGTCACAGGAGGCATGGAGGCTGTGTCGTTCCCAAGAAGGGCTGCGGCAGCAGGGCTTCTGGTATGACCCATCTGGGAAGTTCACCTTCCAGGACCGTCATCTACTGAGTCCCCTCCACCCCCATGAGCTAAAGAGCAGCTTGTGGATGGGAGTTCATGCACCCTGAGCACCTTCAAGGCTGAGAGCAACGCAAGACACCCTGCCTGGTCAGTTGCATGGGTGTCAAGTTCGTCTCCTGGGACCTGAGTCCCTGGTGATCCCTCCATCAACCTAGTTCCCAAGCAGGACCAGTAGGAACACTTTAAAATTTTGTCTGCAGATTTTAGGGGGCCTGGGACCCAGGCTTGGGGGGCTGAGAGCAAGAAGAGAAGGGAATGACAGTGAGCCCTGTGTATCAGCTGCATGTGCGACTCTGTGACCATGGCTGCCATCGGAGTCTCCCTTCTTCAGGTGGTCCAGTCACTTCACACTGAAGGAGACAGCTTCTACTGTCCTCACCTCCAGGCAAAGACACCTCAGAGAGGTATAGTCGCTTGCCTCAGGCTCTTACACTGCTGAGAAAAGTCTGGATTTGAACCCAGGCCCATCTTTCATCAAGCCTCATTCTCTAAACTCAGTTTCCCAAAGTAAGAGAAGTCATAATGCAGGGGTGCCAGGATTTTGGGGTAGAGGAGGAATGGGGGGCTCTCAAAACCAGTCTTGGTAAACCCTGAGGGACTCATAGGGTCTGGGGAACAGGCCAGTGGTGGGGTGTATTTGGGCCTGGACACTAGCCTCCAGTCTCAGCTGCTCCTGGGATTAATAAACACACACACACACACACACACACACACACACACACACACACACACACACCATCTAGCAGTACAAAGACCGGGCCACCACCGGCCGTAGGCATAGCCCTCACATTCAGGCTGCAGGGGTGGCTAGGTGTGTGTACCTCTTGACTGTAGAGTCCATGGAAACCCCTCAAGTGGTGGGCAGTGAGAGGGCCTGGCAGGCTCCCTGGCAGTGCTCCTCTGGGCTGGGCCCTTGCAGGATTGCACAGTGAACTGGGGTGGGGATGCCACTTCAGAGATGGAGGAGACAGAACAGAATGATCCCAAACTCCCAGGTGTGGGCCCAGCCTCTGCCCTACACCTTAAGAACAAAGAATTCAGGCTAGAAACACAGAGCTTGGCTGTAAAATTGCTATGAGAAGACTCTGCTCTTTTGTAAACCTGCCTGTAAAAACTCTATTCCCAAACCCACTGGATCTTTATTTTCAAAGGCATCATTTTTTCAGTTGCTGGTTACAAAATGCCAGCAGGATGTGTTGGTACACTCCCATAATCCCAGCACTCAGGAGGCTGAGGCAAGAGGATAGCCAGGAGTCTGAGGCCAACCTGGGCTCCTCAGTGAGTTCAAGACCAGCCTGAACTACATAGAAAGACCTTGTCTCAAAAGAAAACAAAAACAAATCCCATCACATGGAAGCACTAGACTGCACCCTTTGAGTCCTTGTCAGTCTCACAGTGTCACAGTCATAGACACAGTTCCACTCTGTAGGAGAGGAGGCTGAAGCACAAAAAGGAAGGGAGCTGCCGAGTTCACACAGCCAGGAAGGCAGGGCCCGCTTCTCTTTTCACT